CATCTTATGGTCCCTTCAAAACCAAACAACTTTTGTCTGACAAATTTTTCTCTCCCGAGCTTGATTTTCGAGATATTCGACTGGATGGATTAAAATGGTCCACCCTGTATATCGATCGATTGATGTGATGAGTGTGTGTTTAATGATATTTTTATTACGATTGGTTTCTGCACTTAAATCCAGAAAATCTAAATAAAAGCAAGAATCAATCACATTAAAGAATCACTGAGCATTCACTAATCTGTTCTCTCTGCTGAACGCATATATTTTGTCCAGTGACAAGTGAGATTATTGTTACCGTGTGTCTTTTTTTCGATATATATCTCGGATTAATGTTTGCGGAGGATCTTTTACTCGAGAAGAATTACCCCGTTGCATATCCTATTCTTATAATTTTTTTACTTACTGCCATAACAGAAATGTAAACCATCTGTTGGACGAAGATTACAGATACAGATAAAGTATGTTAAAAGACATTTCTTATTGCATTATATTTATAATATATTATTGCTATAATTAACTATATATGTATTTATTTATATTGTTAAAACTAATCATTTATTTCAGTAGAAAGATGAAAGGCCAGATCCATCTACATTATCTCTTTTATTAATTATATCTTTCCGTGTGATATTAGAGGTTACATAATCTCTATCATGAGCTTAGTAAAAAAATCACGAAAATAGGATAATGCAACGGAGCAATTCTGTTAAGAGTGCAATATCATCTAATCATTTAGTTACAGAAATAAGTTGGCACCAATGCCAAAGACCGCGTTTTCAAGTTTGTAATAATTCTATGGTTTTTAAGAACGCGCGTACATTCCTTCTATGGCACTTCCTGTTTGACTCTTTAAGAGAAAAAGGTTTTGTTTTGTCTCGCTGCTGCGCATAATAATTTTGTTAAACACGTCGTACAGAATAAACTGACTTAATAAGTATATGGAAAGTGTGCATTCATATTATTGGACTATTATTATATACTTTCTTGCCGTTGTGTCGCTCAGCAAGAGCCCGAGCCAAATCGATTAACAACAACAGGTTATGGGCTCAGTGCCACGTTGTTCTCGAATTTTCTATGCGCGTTGTGCTTGTAACGTATTGCGTGTTCGACATGGAAAGAGCGATCGAAGAAGAAAATCTAAAATACAGGATCCCTCTGTTCGACGGAACAAATTACAGTAATTGGAAATTTCGAATGGAATTGTTCTTAGAGAAACTAGGACTTCTCAAATATGCGCAACGTTCTCGACGAAGCTATTGCTCAAATTACCGCAGGGGAAGAGCAAGCAGCACGCGAACAGCATTTGGATGGACTGAAGAAGAAGGATCTGTTATCTGTCGATCTCAAATAGTACAAAGGATTTCGGACAGCCATCTGGAATACGCGAAGGACAAGCCCACGGCATTTGCAGTCTGGCGAGAGTTATCGAACGTGTTCGAAAGACGAGGTATGGCCAGTCAATTGTTGTGACGCAAGAAATTATTATCTATGAAGTTCAAGTCAAATTTAGAAATCTTATCTTCACATCTCTTAAAATTTGAGTAACTCGTTCGCGAACTGAAGTCAACTGATGCAACGATGGAAGAACTGGACATTGTTTGTCACCTTCTGCTAACCATGCCGCCTGATTATGATGTGTTAACCGCCCTCGAAACGCTTTCAACAGAGAATCTAACTTTAAGTTTCGTAAAGAATCGTCTGTTAGATGAAGAAACAAAAAGGAAAAGAGGAAATAAGTCGAGTAAACAAGATACGAATCTACAAACAGCGTTTGCAACGTCGTCATCGAATTATTGGAAAAACAAGACTGGAAATGCATCGAAAGAAGGAAAAGACAACAGTCAAGGGCAAACATACAAATTTAAATACAAATGTCATAACTGTGGGTTAACTGGACACCGAAGATCTGAATGTAGGAAACCAAAGTTGGCAAAAAAAGAGGATCAATCTACGAGCAAGGTAAATCAGGCAAATTTCGCCTCGAAGGAAGATGAAGAATTCTGCTTTATTGCTTCGACAAATGTCATCGACGATGGCGAAACTATCAGCTGGATACTCGATTCTGGAGCGTCAGAACATTTGAAACAATGAAAGTCTTCTGACTGATGTGCA